GAGAGAGAGAGAGAGATATCCATGCTATTAGCGAAATAAGTACCGAGTTGTTACAAGAATCCCTCATGCTCTTAAATGAAACAATTTAATCTTTTTAAGTGATCGGCCGTGGTTCGTCAAGGACACGATACGTAGTACGTAACATTTTCATCATTATACGTACACATTTATCATTTTGCCATTGTTACGTATAATTAATTTATCCAAAAATATTTCCACTTATTATAGATATCTCTCGTAGATTTTTATAAATGGATTACTGATATTTGCAACGGTTATGACATTACGTTATTACATTTTGAAAAATAGAAATAGGATATAATCATTACTCGATAAGTAGTTGCAGGAACTTTGACATCTAATAATCGTTTTTATTCTTGAATTTATATAAATTTAAAAATTATTGCTTTTGTTGCTAATTACGTGTTTATTTTTAACAGATTTGAAATGTAGCGGTCCTAAATCGAAACTATATCCCTTTAATAATTGATAATTAAATTAATGATCCGAATTAATCCCCAAAAAAAGCGAAGATTCTTTATTGAACATAATATATATATATTGATTATTATATTTTGATTGTGAGATTCTAATTAATTTGAACATTTGCTGATAGTGTTAATTCTGTAATTGGAATAAAAAATGATCAGAAAATTGTTTGCTAGAATTTGATGATATTGCAGTTATTTATATTACGTTTATTTATATAGATATACTCACCCAAGGGGTGGCACCGATTGCAGGGTATTGTCCAGATCTTGGGGATTCGGGGTATATCGTTGTCCCGTTGCTACTCCATCTTGGATAAATTGGCATGCCAGGACGATCCAGGCTGTCAACAATAGCAGTGCGGACATCCTGCACAAGGAACTCGCAACTTCCTATCCGTGATTCCTTCTGTGACACTATCTTGAATTATCCTTTTAGCTCGCACTCTCGTCAATACTCGTGCATCTAATATGCATGATCTTTGGTCGATCTCAAGGGATTTTCCCAAATCGCGATCATTCCACCGCCTGCAAAGATAATTTAGAGCTCTTTTAGCGCGCTATTTTCCAAATACTTGTTTGATGTTTTATTTAGAAATTAATATTGATATTTTTCAATCATTCAGGATTTATTTAACGCCTTATCTACTTTATACGCTGTTTAATTAGAAAGACGGTTTTTTTTATGAAAAATCTATGCTTCTTTTTCTATTTTGCCGCGTGAATTCTTGCTAGAAACATAACATATGATAATTCGCTTATGAGTTTGATGTCTTTCCGGAAACGCCAAATTAGTACGACGAGATAGAAGCAACTATCTCTTGATATAAATATCCACCATTGCGTTTTAGTGAGCGAGAGGCGAGAATTTACGATTAAATTCGCACTGTTGCGGAATAATTCATCTTTCTATTAAAATGCATTTTACATTTTACTAAACGTATGGTATAATACAAATAATTTATAAATTCAACAAATGTTTTAGAAACATTTAATTTTGTCCGCTTGTCTTTGTGTGACATATTTAAGGATTAAGGATTATTTCATAATAACTTTTTAACTTTATGCATATAATAATTCTAGGAGAAACACTCAGATTTTTTTATAAATTCTTTTTCATAAATACTTAATAATTATAAAAATATATAACGTAATGTCACATTTTTCAAAAATTATTTTGCATTTCGTCGTTCACTTCTTGGAAAAACTGATATCATATGAAAAGTTATATCTACTCTTTTATAAAATAAAATTAAGTCTCTTTTTCAAACAACAAATCTCTTACAAATTCATTGCGTTGCTCGTGTAGTTTCTGTTTGTTATCAAAATGCACATGCATGACCAATGTCTGAAGCCTATCTTTAAAGTTTCATAAACTTAAACGATTCCTGCGAAAAAAAGAATAGGCCTTGTACGCACGTCCTATTACGAGCGGAATGAATTGAGATAGCCCTCGACCGGAGCGTTTCAGCTTTGAGTGTGAAAAGTTTCACCACCGTAACGAATGAGCTCGTAAAGTCTGCACCACGACGTTATCGTGCCTATTGAGAGCTTCTCTTTGCGAGGAAGCGAAAATTTCCAAGAAAAATCCATTTGATTATGTAAGTGATTATATAAATGATTTTATATATATATATATATATATAAGTAATTACGTAAGTTACTTACCTTCCTAAAACGAAAAGGAAGGTAACAAAAAAGGTTAACCTTAAGTTTTACCTTTTTAAAGTTTACCTAAAACTTAACCTTTTAGTTTTACGTTTATTAATTACCTTGTTTTTTTTTCTTTAACGTAAAATAAGAAATTTTTTTAGTTAGTTACAATAGTGAAAAAAAAAGTTTACCAGATAAGGAAAAAAAAAAACAAAGGAATCTTTCCTCTTCTTCTAGAAAAAATTTTTATGAATTAATAGATAGATCTTGTTTGTCAAACGTACCTGTTTAGATAAACAGTAGTTTAGGATAATTCCATAACTAGCACGAGTTGATCGCAAATATTCGCCCTAATAGATCTGCGACACACGCGTGGGCTAGTCGATGATCGCGCATATCGCGATTAACTGACGTTCGACGTGACGTTGTGATCTTCAACGACGCGATCACGCGTGAACAAGCTAAGAGTCGCGATCAAAGATCATTCTCAAAAAATCGCTCGCTTAGGTCAGCAGTCTGTGAATCGAGTCCCAAGAGCTATGACTTGAACTAACTTTGTCTCGTGTCGCAAATGATTTATGATTGAATTGGCGATATGGCGCTTAATTTTTTTCTATCAAACGTTTACTAAAAAAGATTTACTTTTAGAAATTCATCAATCATCATTTAAATTATAAAAATTGTTTTTTAATATAAACTCATTTATAATTTATATATATATTTAAAATATATAAGATATTAAAAGATATTCAGATATTTAAAAAATATCAATTAACGAAAGAAATTCATAATAAACCTCGTGATTTTATTTTATTTCTTACTTTAATTTCTTTGCGCTTTATGCGAGCGGTAATACAAATTAATTAAATACTCAAAAGCTAGCATATAATTTTCAAGACTCGCGTCCCACCAAAATGAAAAATTAAAGCAAAACAGATTGAGCGTATGTATACATATTTTTTTTTCCTACGCGACACCTACGCGACTTTCGATTTCCGGCGGACCGGTGACCGATCTTTCGGCCCGCTCGAGATCGATCAGTCCCAAGAGAGACGAACCTCGGAAAGATGCACCGCGACGAGATTCGACGCGAGACTGGAGCCGCCGATTGTAGACTCGAGGAGAAGACTCATCTGGGAGGGTTTCTTCTCTCTCCTTCTATTTCATCAGCATCTTCAACCATCCTTATCTTCTACTCTCTGTCTCCGTATCGGTCTCTCTTCTCCTCTTCTGGTCCATACATCGTGCCGATCTCGTTCTCCCCCTCTTCGGATTAAGACGATGATGATGATGATGATGATGATGATGATGACGACGACGACGACGACGACGACGACGACAAGTCGAACCCACCCCTTCTACTTAGCTGTTAACACCACGTATGTGTGAAGGCACGGACACGCGCGCATGCATACGTTCCGAAAGGATGCGCTCCGACGCTCTCGATCGATCAGTCGAGAATGCGATTTGTGCGAAATTAGCGGAAGTAAGGGAGTAAACTTCTTTTGCTCTCTTATCAATTTATTAATTGGTACCGATCTGTTTCGATGACATCGCGCAACGAGCCAGGGCTTGTTCAGAATCAAATAGTGAGAGAAGAGAGGAGAAATAGAAAGTAATATTACTTACTCTCTCTCTCTCTCTCTCTCTCTCTCTCTCTCTCTCCTTAAAAAATTTAATTATTCTTCAAATTGGTGTAATATATTTACTTAATACTCAGTGCTTAATACTCAGTTATTTATTTAATAAACAATCACTTTAAGAAAGATGTAGAATAGAGTGTAAAATAAAAATCTTTACTTAATTTACAAATCAATTAGTAGCTAATATATTAATTTAATAAGCCGAAAAATGTGTCGCTTTAAAAATATTGATTATGAGTTATTTCTTGTTTTATACAACGAATACTCGTTTTCAAACAGTTTTCAATTTATTTATTTCTGGAGTATTTTATTTTCATTGTTTTTTATGTAATTTATCTCTTACTCTGCACACAGTGATTACATCAGGAACAATTATGTAATAATGAGTCTTGAATGAGCGAGGCTAAGATATTCCGCGCATTACGTTTTCGTAATTTCCTAGTTAATATTGGATAAGCTTTCACAATTTTCGTAATTTACTAGTTAATACTGGACATTCTTCCACAATGTATGCCTGATGCTATCAAATGAGGTTGTAGCTTCACTTGAGAAACTTAGGTGACATTGACCTTTGGTTTCTGGATAAAATCAGAAAAAGGCCGCAAACACTTCCGGAATTTATTTAACTAGAATACGTAATAATTTTTCTGTATGTAGCACATAATAATACTACTATGATATATCTAGATATTATATTTTTAATTATAATTTAGAATTTAAAACTTAACTTAGAATTTAATTTAGAATTTAAATTTTTAATTAATTTTAAATTTTTATTAAAATTCAGATTAGTATTTTTAAAATTTAATAATTTACTTAAGTAATAATTTAATATAAATTTATACTAAATATTTATACTAAAAACTTTTAATATAAAATTACTGAATATTTATATTAAAAATTTATATTAGAAATATCTCTTTAATATAAATAGAAATTTTTAGGATACCACGTATATTATATATCATTAAGAGTAAATTATAATTTAAAAATATAATTCAATTTGATGATAATGCAGAAATACTTAAAATTTTTGTTATATCTCCAATCAGTTTAATTTAAATTTCGCCGCTTTCAATTTCATTTGATAATTTTCAATAATGTGGTCTATTTTAACGTAAAATAGATCATTTCTAATTAGATTAAGGATCGTGAACTATCGGTCGCGCGCCAGTCCTATTCATTGTAACGTATTACGTAATTACCATTGTCAATGGCGGTGTTTAGCACGGTTCTTCAAGATCCTTAGGGTCGGGAAATCTGATATGATGATATGCGGGTGGGAATGTGACAGCATGTACATACGTGCACGCGTATATATACGTACATACAAAGAAAGAGTCGAGAGAGAAAGAGA